AAWWWTTTRRMYTWMCCMCAACGCCAACGACCTTGAAAGTCAATATAGTGTAGATATTAAGCCATTAACAACTTTTTCCATGAGGTGTGGTTMCAATGTCACGTGCCGCGGAAATGTCACTCATGGTACATGGTTAGCACCAATAGACACCTTYATCGTGTCARGATTAAGGTGCACGTCACCGACCCAATCTCYTCTATCTCCGTYCATCTTGAACTGTGCAAAAATAGCAACATYGATATGGTATTTTTCTTTCGAAATAAAGAAATGTCCTGTAGATAAMCTATAATGTTTACAGCGTGATATAATGTATAGGGTCAATTGGAGTTAAAGTCGATAATCATACAGTAAAGTGCTAGCAGCAAAAATAGATATTTTCATATCAGGATTCATGATCATGTCAACAACTTAAACCTTTCTATCTTTTTCCACTCACAACTGTKCAAAAATAGAAACCTTGACGCTGACATCCGCATTGCAAAGGACAATGACAGTGTCGACTTATATTAATAGTTTTTAGGGACCATTACATTAAATCAAATAACTATACTTCTGATTCACAAGGCATTCAAGAAACTCAAATACCTAGTATTCTAATCCTTCCAATCCATTGTATATTTTTCTTTCGTTCATATTTGGCAAACCCGAAAAAATSTTTTTAACGAGATGTGGTGTATATATTCAAGTGCCGGAAATGTCAATCAATTCAATCAAGTCACCAATCTAAACTCTTCTCTTTGTTATCAAACCTAGAACTGTGCAAAAATAGCACATTTCTCGATATTGTTGTCTCTCTCACATCTTCCTTTAAAGGAATGAAATAGATGGTCAAACAGAGTTTACGAGACGAATGTAYGATGTTTTGACGAAGTTGCTGTAGTATATTTCAACAAGTAAACATTTCCCCTTCGACCATAAAGTTCCTGCATCGTCAATGTTGCCAATCCGAAGTGAAAAACGAACAAAGAAACTTAAGTTATGAACATTGATTGAATTGATGCACAATAGTTATTAACTTATGGCCAAGCTATCAACAGAGGTTACTGTGGCCTCTCATTCGTGAAAATGCAATAGACAATAACGATGTCCTAGACATAACATCCCAAAGGCATGCGTTTACAATGGAAAACATTATCATTTTTATTTTCTAACTTATAGTCATTAACAGAGACTGCAAAACATGCTGAGAAGTACAAGGCTGTAATATGTGTAGTATTCCAAGTGCATGAGAAAGACAAATGAATGAGTATAAAGTGATTTTCATCGGATTGTGAAATAGTTCCTTCGCTAATAGACACTAGCAGACACCCATGGCTTTCTTTTATTGTAATGCAACTCTTTGACACTATTAAACACTGACTAGTAGTAATTGTTTCACAGACGGATGAAAATGACTCTATTTTGCTACAAAATTGACAAAAATTAAATAGAAGAATAATATTTGATCATKCTGAGTCACAAGATAATAATAGCTGATCATAGCCCCCAGGCATATTATATGGAAACAATCTCATGAATTATTCATTAGACATTCTTCCAATGAGCATTCAAMTATGGGTCACATGACAGAACCTCTAACTCAATCTACAAACACTGATTAATTAAACATGAGTTTTATAACTAACCAATTCAGTTAGTTATAACAAACTCATGCATAAAACATCAGTGTTGTAACTGATTTACAGGCACTCGATGTGTGCCCAACACTAGAAAAGTTCTCAGTTTTAGACTCTCATCATAGAACTTCAGTAGGTTTCGAGTCTGAATTKAGTTATTGCAAAGTCATATAACACTAAAACATAGTGGCTCTTGGATGTGGGAAACCAAGTTGATTACTGCTCATGCTCAGATGGAGCTATCTTCATCAATTATTCATTTTTGATATTATTTTTTATTATTTATTTCATGGTAAACTAAGATATTGTAGTTTCTTAGGTTTGGGTTTTAGAAGTCATTTAAAAAACTCTCACGGTAAAACACTCCTACTCGTTTTTTTTATCACATCTATATCATTGACAGCGTTTACAAGTCTCGTGACAGATCTTTTCAACTCTCGAAGATAAAACCCGTATCTCCGCGCGCCCATGCACGTAATATATTCTATATCTTACACATTCGTGAAGACGCGTTTGTAATCTATTGTTAATAATAAGAAAATTCAAACAATTGCTTGATTTTTCACCATCTTTATTGTAACTCATCAGTGTGTGGCGTGAAATTGAATTGATATTAGATAGTTACGTATGCAAAAATACTTCATTCTTTCATTTTGAAATTTAAAACCGTTTTGTGCTCATTCTACTTTAAAATTAACACGACCGTCGATTCCAGAAAGCTGGTTTGAAGTRAAATTAGCAATGGCATATCTCCATCCACGTCTTTGTGGTTCTAAGGACACTGTGATTGAGGCTTTCTCTTGAGGTTTAACAGGCTTTCTAAAAACAATAATAAACTTTTTATCGGTTTCCCATTATAGATTATTTCAAACTTTTCCGGAAGATATTTCATACTTGCTTTAAAAAAACACACAGAGACTAAAAAGATGATTTTGTCTTGTCCACTTCGCTTGATTGAGTGATTGCCGTCAAAAAACTTATCCATATCAATGAATTGTATGTCATTCATGCGGGATCCCTGTGCGTTTTAGTTTCGGGTTTCCTTTAGCAAATCTATGCCATATATGGAAACAAACATGGCCGATTATCGAGAAGCGTTTTCGCTATAATATCTGCAAGTTTCAGACGACTTCATACTTTAAAAGTCGAGAAAATCGCCAAAAGCCAATTCTATCATCTTAATTCCAAATAAGATAAGATTTTCATATATGGCTGCTAAAGGAATGACAGCTTTTCTGGTTTTCTGGGGCAGTTCTTTGATATTGGGTGTATCGTTCTTAAAATGGTAAAAACACAAAAACTGTACATGGTGTCCTAAGTATTTTGCCSATGATTGTATATTGCTTTCGTATATACTTCAAGCCAACAATCTCTATCAAATTGAASCCATACTGAAGCATGTTCTAACTTACTTGAGCGTTTCTGTTATTGTGTCAGGGTTAACATAGCGAGCAGTCTCGATGTTGAAGACGCAATTGTCGAGCGGTATTTTAAGTGGATTTGTGAAGGAAACTGTCAAGTCAAACTTCTTCTTTTCCTTTACTRCATCTTTTTTAAACTAAAAGAAACAATGATAAACTCTCAAAGGAAACCTGATATATCACCCAAACGTGCACCATTACGCACCAACCCCTACCTCAAACACAATTCCAGGCTTCTGCAGTTCGATCACTTCATCATCGTTGAAAACCTGTCCAGTTTCCTTAACTTTTGCAGTCAAAAAGGCTTTGATGTTTGTCTCTGCAGGTGTTTTCCCCATGTAATTGCTTGCTGGAACTGGCAAAGATACCATTTTCTCTGAAAATGAAGGATATTTTAAATTTTAATTTTCTCAGTGTTAAACAAGTGGTAACAACACCACTGGGTCCCTTATTAATTAAGTAATTTGCTTTCAAAATTATGTGACAAGTCGTGGACAGACGAATACGCCTTTTTACTGTTCAAAGTAAGCAATCGTTGCTTTTGTTGACAACAGTCACTCATGCGAAGAGAACTTACCGAAAACAAAAGAAAGCACGAAAAAATGTTGTCATTGGAATAGCGCTACAAATTTGCATCTGATTTGATGCTAAAACTATATTCCAGGAAGACTCGGAGGAGAAGCAGATTTCTAGAGCTATTGTAATGTCAACATTTTTTTTTTGACGTGCTTTCTTTTGTTCTCCACGCAAGTGAGTCTATTATCGACTAAAACAGCGGTCGTTCGCATTAAAGGTGAAAAATGTTACTGAGCACCTGGACTTCTGGAAAACAGAATAYAACGCTTTTGTTTCCCTGGGGCTCGTTCTCATTTATTTTTACATGACCACTCCACAAGTGGTTGTGGTATAACGAGTTACTGCAATCCAGTAATGCAAAAATACCTTCATTTGACTGTAAACTGTAGGTATTATGCAGTTTGTCCAATGGTACTGCAGTGATTCCAGTGTAAAATGCAGTCCTTGTTACTATGGTGACGTCAATAGTCCTTAGMTTATCACTTGTGTTTTTCATCTTCAACTGCACATCAAAGTCACTGCCCGACATTAAGGTGTCATCCGGTGGCACGAARTCGAAGGCCACATCTCTGTTCTGGTTAACTTTGTAGATTTCGTTGTCTCTCCTTGAGCTCAAACTGTAAGCTCTRTGMACMGCAGCTCTCTCAGCRGCACTTCCTTTYAGATAGTAAATGMATAAGGTTAGCGACCATGATGAGAAGAAYGRYATGTTTTCCTAAAGTTGTAATTGCTTGTAAGTGGKTATTTATCAGGAGGAGCCGACGGGGTCTGTTCTTCTATTCTAAATAACTATTYYTGTACGATTTTTTTTCCTGATTTGTCTGTTTTAGAGTATTGTGCGGTAGTTTTTCAKCACAGCCTTCATRCTTATTTAAGTGATGACTTAGAACGCGAACAGAAACGTGCTTTAGTTATCWTTGATCCATTGGAATCATATCAGGRTAGCTTAACATGCCTTAGTCTAAGCTCTCTTAAAGAGCGACGTTCTACATTATGTATTATTCTATTTAATATGATCATGGTCGATAGCAGACCTACATACGTTTTTTTCTCAAAGAAAATGTAAATACATATAATTTAAGGAATCCTTGTCATTTTCAAGCTTATAAAGACCGAACCAATCGTTTCWAAAATAGTTTTCTCCCACTATGTCAAATTTTTAATATTATATATTAGATTCTAATTGATGTAATTTTTACGCATTTCAGTCTTCGACTGCCTTTGTAAAAATGTAGTTTAGATAAATTATCCATCATTAAATGATCAGAAGAGTAAGAAAAAAGAAAAAAAAAAAAAACCAATTGAGCTATTAGCCTCACTTTCATCGTGTTTATAATAATCAGTGACGTCATTGCGAGYGCTGTTTCCAATAGCCTTCGTACTGATCTTTTTCCCAACTGAAAACTTGTCAATTGATGTCACTTCCATTTCTCCGTTGTTATCCACGTCCCAGTACACGCGATCTCCATTGACYTCTCCGAAAACAAATCGAGTGTCGTAAGGAATGTAGACCATTCCTTCTTTGATGGCTTTGACAGGAGCTGGGCCACAGCAATACACTCCTATAAAATGAATATATAATTGTGCCTGTTTCGATAAATTAAGTAAAATTTGTGTKGTATTTTAGGACTTGCACATCAATGACCCTAGCTGTTGGATGCACTTATATTAGGGAGACTTTGTGAAGATGGCTGACTTTTGTCAAACAAATCCAGAGAAAAGGTAGAAGAAATCTGTAGTGCCGCCTGCGTCAATAATGAATTTAAAAAAATGAAAGTTATTGTCCAATTCAAAAAATGTTTATAATCTTTCATTATARATTGTTCCAAAGGAAATAGACACTTCATTGCACAATTTTTTGGGCATTCTTGCATGAGATTAATGTGATTTCCGTTCTCTCATGTCACCAAACATATCGTGATTGCATTCTGTCAACCCAGTAGTCTTAAATCTATGAATGTAAGAACAAGCAAAAACCTTGGCTGCTTTCTTGCGGTGTTGCATCAATTGCCTGCCATCCGTCATATTGACGAGGAAGATCTGGTCGTGTAAAAAAGCTTTCATTCCAGACATGGAAATTCCTGGAGTGCGTTTAAAAAGTAATCACCATTCAGTAATAACGAATCTGTTTAGAGTGTAAAGATAATTTGTAGTCGGATTCTTTTAACATTCTCTGAATCCTTAGATTAAACTTACCAAATAGAATCGTTGTTTAAATACTCAATGGGCTCCCTGTTGTCTTTTCTGGTATGGTAGTCAATGGTAGTGCTTGCATCCGTATCGTGRGCAGACGMAAAGTTAGTGACGCTTCGTGTTGGGATCCCTATGGCTCGGCCAACTAAAACAGAAATTAATAAACAAAGATTAGAGACTATATATAGTAAAATATACGTCAAGTAATCAATTTGAGGGTATGGTTAAGGCAAGCACTGTCAGGAGACCTAGACGACGTTTGTTTGTTTGTTTGTTTGTTGTTGTTGTTGTTGTTTTTTTGTTATTATATATTCAGTTCTTTGCGTATTGCTTCATTAAAATGCCAAGTAAAATCTCGCAAACTGAAGACATTTCCGCCTTTTATGATGTTCCTTTCCAACTCTATGCACAGCCGGCTGTGCGAAAGGGATATAAAGTGCACTCGATTAGGGATAGAATCGGTTTGGATAGCTGCTATCAACCATAGCCTTGCAGTTGTTTTTATGAAAACGTCCTTAATTCTATATGCAACATAAACAATATCGTATCAATATCAAGTGATGGTAGTAATTGTACGATACAATAATGACATTTAGCCCTTATACAATTCCTTCTAATACTTACATGTTGTCACTAGTCCTGAAAAGACCCAACACTGTCCATACTTGACGCCTTCCTTTTTATCTTGTAATTTCTCGTACTCTTGCAAAATCTTCACGCTTCCAGCCCAATCGGAAGGACTTTTATGAGGCGCATAATCTCCAGACCAGTTACCTACCAGGATCCCACCGTCTTCATCAGTTTGATTTACCTAAAATARCAAAAACCAAAGCTTTTGACTTCATGCTGGAATAATCACAATGATATGCTACTTTTTTAGGTGTGCAATCTTTAGGGGATCAAATCTACAGTATAATATCCACACTTTCTTTGAAGGCAATGTTTCCTGTAAATACATTTTACAAAAAAGGTTGTCGAATTAAATGGTGAATGCCAATTGTCGGACGATTATTGCACGACTTAAAGAAGCAATGGGTATTGCCTATCGATGAGAATCGCTGCATACTCAGTAGATGAAATGTGCACGAGCAATTGCAATCATTGATACAAGATAGGTATCAAAACTACATAAAATTTAGAGGTAAAATATTAATAGATCCAAAATTTCGACTTTTTCTGAGTGCATCATTAGAGGGCCATTTGGCCATTTTTTTCGGAAAGTAAATGATAGCATGAATCAAAAACTGATTACTAGCAATCATTTTCGGTAGTGCAATAGCCATTTCTCCGGCGGGCAGCTTTTTTTAGTCAATCTCAGYGTTTCATACCATCTTTGTCATGAACCTTGACACCATTACGGGATCTCCTCTGGACTGAATGGACAAGTCTTTGCACATGTCCAACAGAAATAGGCAAGTTCTCAGCGAGACGTTTTCAAACTACAAGTGAGAGGTTAAAATCATCACGTTGGACTATAGTAATGTGACAACAATGATGTCAACAAATTAAGGTCACTTTCATGATTTAATTGGAACATCATCAATGCACCTCCTACCTGGCCAAAGTTCCATGGTCTTCCGTGGTTATAGCGTTTACTTCCGACCCAAATGTTACCAGTAGGGTTCAAAACATACTCATTACGCTCTTCGTCGTTTCCCATGTACACAGCATCGGCTGTAAATRGTAATCATATCCATTTTTATTTCATTGCAGAAAGACAATACACTGTGAATGCCGTGGCAGTTTAAGAGTGAAATTTTCTTTGTTATTAACATTAAAAAAAAACCAGATGTTTCTCATTTAGACAAAGTTTTAAAGACCTTGCTATTTTAATAAATAACTTTGCCATTGTTTCAGTTGCACGGCCCAAAARGGCAGCACTCATCGTTTGATTATCTTAAACAAAGAATWTTTTTTTTCTCGTGCTGTTTGAAAATATCGGCCTCTTCCTMCCATCTAACAACTCGTTCTGTTTATGTCAGAAAATMTACAGAAGAACTAGCCATAATTGTCGGAAAGGCTTTACCTTGACACCAAGCGTTGAACAGGACAATTACAGTATCATCTTTTCCTGCATCTTTTTTRAAGATCAAGTACTCGTCCTCAGYTCCAGATTTTTTAGTTTTAGTCTCCACAAAGACTTTATATTCGCCGACCAAGGCATTGGCAGGAGACATGACTGCAAGCGTGACATTTTTGCCATTGACTTTATCAACGCGCATGCCCCATGAGGAATTAGGCAGCKYMTTRGTATCTTTGACTTTGACACGAATCAAGGTGTTCTTGCTTTCTTGTGGACGACTCCCTTATAAAGCAAACAGGAGAATGGTCTTCAATCGCTGTTATTTTCGATTTTTTTTTTTAAGTTTTTAGAAGTAGCTATTTACGGCCCATAACATATGAACTATTTTTTCGAGGTCTAATTGTTAAAAATATTAGACCTCGAGGTCGATTGGACTACGAGCTAATAGCCCATAAGGCCGAGTCCGCGAGGCCGAATGGGCTATTAGTTCGTATAGTCCACGAGGCCGAGAGGTCTAATTGTTTTAGTATAAACACACTAATCGGTTTGAAAACAAATTGAAATATCCTTAAAATAATTTATTAATGAGATTGATTTTCCCGCGAGTGGTCTATCAAAATTAGACCATTAGTAGAGTAGTCAATCACAGCGCAGTATGAGTGATAGACCATTATATGTTTATACTAATGTTCTTTATAATCTAGATGYAATAGTACGAACGCTTTGATTGGTCCAAAAGCGTGATTTATTTCACCGGAAAAAGCCCGCTCGCTGCGGTCGTGATTTTTTTAGGACTTTTTCAATCTTCCAAAAACACCGCGTGGGTAATCTCACCGATCAACGCATGGCAACTCATCCTTTATTGCTTTTAAGAATTTAAAAATTAACAACAAAAATGGCAGAAAGCAGCCTTCTAGTTCTGATTTCCTTTCTTACCAAATACGAGCTGCAAGATCAGTTGGTCTTGTTTGGGATCGTAAGCACGATCAAAAGTCACTTCCACTTGAAACTCTTGTCCTCTTCTGACAACAAGTCCATAAACGTCCTCATCGTACTCGTCCGYGTGATGCTCCTCGCTGTTTTCCTTGATATGGTAGTCGATTTTCTCTGGCTTTAGCTGGGTAGCTTAGAAWCAAATTATYATTATTAGTGCTTTTGTATTTCCAAGGTTTCGGCCGAGCCATGACTTTTAAATCATTAAAATGTGCGAAAATCGTACAG